CTTTTGCTCTTCAGCAAAAAGACCGCAAACTTGGTAAAAGATTCCTCGGAGTTGAGCAAAAAGTTTAGTTACTTCAAAAAAAAAGGATCCCGGTTTTTCTAAACAGGCCAATGTGAAAGACACAATATAAGAATAGTGGATGGGAAACGAAAAAACACAATCAAGTATCTTATAAGGATGAACTGAACTCAGTATTCTAAATTCAAACATGGCTAATCTCATAACAGGCCCGGTGGCACAGTGGTTAGAATGCAGTATTGCAGGCTATTTCTGCCCAAAGCCAGAAGTTTGATCCCTGATAGGACTCAAGGTTGACTCAGCCTTCCATCCTTCAGAGGTTGGTAAAATGAGGACTCAGATTGTTGGGGGCAAGAGGCTGACTCTGTAAACTGCTCAGAGAGGGCTATAAAGCACTATAAAGAGGTACATAAGTCTAAGTGCTATTGCTATAACGGCACGACCATTTGTTAACATCAATCCAAGGATATGCTCCTATTTTCAGCAATTTCACCCCATCAGAGAACCAAAGGCTCCATAATGAGAACACCTTAAAGTGTAAATGCGACTGGACCGAAAGACATTCCTAGATCATCCGTAGAGGACATAGATTTGCACTGTCACTTTTTAATCTCATACCTCTTAAAACTGATCTCGTGAAATACATTGGATGGGCATCATTCCATTATGATATATGTAGGCAAATTAAAGAAAACTGTAGACCAAAGCTTGAAGCAAGCAAAGTGAGCTTTGGTTTACTGGAAATACTAGGAATTCTTTCTCATTCAGATATTAACTTAATATCTCATCGCATGGTGAGATGGATGGCAAACCAATATAATAAATAAATGTGGAGAAATCCAAGCTTTGAAAGTTGCTCTCTCATGTGAGACAGGATTTTATGAGGCTGGAATATATCATAAATATTTCTATTAATAAAATGCCATGTGGTGGTGCATCTAAGCTTCCATCTTCCATATTAATGTGCACCAATAGCTAATAAATAATATTCCTCCTTAAGTTGCAGAATATGGACTATTCAGAAAAGTGACTAGAAAGCGAAAGAGCACAACTTGATTGGTAATATATAAATGCTGATCCACACAGCATTAAATCATGATTAGTGAATTAAATGAATTGCCTTGTTTGGAAACAAATACCAAACAAGTTCACTGACTGGATTCACATAACGCAGACCCACAAATCAGCTAATCATATTTTAGTTAGCAGGTAAGATGAATCAATGCATGTTACTTCATGAATACAGCCTTACCTACAAATCATTTTTTTACTAAAAATCAAAATCAAAAACATCACTAAAATGAAACATCTAGTAAACCTCTGGGGTTTTTCCATGTACTTTTCTACATGCAATCTGTAACAACCAGGAGCTATGCAGAAAAAGTATGTGGGTATTCATGTGCGGGAATGATGAAATTAGGGGAAGAAAAATGAAGTTATCTCTTCCTAATGTGCCAGGCAATGTATCTAAATTTATATCTTCCCTTTTGTGCGCAACAGAAAATTGTCATTCTCTGTTCCTCCCATACCCTTCCCAGCAAGCTAATAAAAGCAGTTTGCAGGCTAATACTCCTTATTAAATTCAATGAGTATAGATGGAGTAAATTTACATATATACTGGATTGCCACAAATTTTACTGCCCAACTGTAAATTCACATGTAATCAAGCATTTATCAATTTTAATGGTGTCCATGTTCTTTTAAACTCGGTTTAAAATATAAAAATATCCTTGAGTTCAGCTGAACTTGTGGTGGATTCATGTAGTTATAACCATGTAGTTCTGGCAGTGATTTGCTCTCCAAGCTTGCTTCAATTTAGTTTCTAAATGTTTCATAACTAGACTAGTTAAAGCTAACATCACTCTAGTCTGGTAGCCAAAAGTTCAGAACCTAAATTGAAACAAGCTTGGAGAGCAAACCACTGCCAAAATCTAAAACCTGAGCTACAAGTATTGTCTATTATTTCATAACCAAGTAGTTTTCCTCATAACAGAGAAGTGGTTTGTTACTTGTTTGTTCCAGACGTACAAGAGTGAGCTATATTAAATATTAAATTTTACCTTTTTGGTCATTAATGACAACAGAGAATTAGAAATAGGAACCTTACAGAAACAGGTACAGGAGGAAAAGTACACTTTATTTTATTTTTTTCAGAAATCTAACAGCTTGCGTTTTTACTCTGATGAATAATTTACTTCCGATTTGATTTTGTTCTGCACTGGGACTTGCAACATAAAAGGCACAAAGACAAAAAATAATCCATAGGTTGTTTTCCAAGAGGGAACTGCCAAATTGTCCTTGTTTTCAAACAAGTCATCACATACTATTTGGTCATTTTGGACAATCTCGATGATAATTTGAATAAATTATTGGTCATTATGACAACACAGAATTAGGAACAGGTACCTTCCAAGAAACAGGTAGAGGAGGAAAAGTGATACAGAGCAGGCTTATGAAAAGGCCTGAATGATAAACATGAGACTCCCTCTGGGAAGATTTAACATGGACTTCATGAAGGAGTAGGTGAATGCTTTTCCTTCCCACTCAAACCAAAAGCACTGCCCTACTTTAAATCCTACTGTTAGGGCCCCCAAAGGAATGCCTCCAACTGGCATCTGTCCACCCACGGATGATACATGTAGTCCTTGAGTTACACCCATAACTGAGCCCCAAATTTATGTTGCTAAGTGAAACATTTGTTAAGTGAGTTTGGCCCATTTTTACGACTTTTCTTGCCACACTTGCTAAGTGAATCATTGCCTTTGTTAAGTTAGTTAACCCGGTTGTTATGTCAGCCTGGCTTCCCCATTGACTTTGCTGGTCAGAAGGTGGCAAAAGCAGATTGCATGACCCCCACAGGACACAGCAACCATCGTAAACATGAACCAGTTGCCAAGCATCCGAATTTTGATCATGTGACCCTAGGGCAGGGGTGTCAAACTCAAGGCCTGGGGCCGGATCTGGCCCGCAGTGTGCTTAGATCTGCCATCCTGGAAACAGCAAAGGACCAGCCTGCAGTGCCTCTGCCAGAGAAAACAGAACTTGTGAGGACAAACGTGCAGCCCTCCTGAGTTCTGTTTTCACTAGCAGAGGGTTGCAGGAAGCTGTCGCAGTCGAAAACGGAGCCCGGGAGTCCGTTTTTGCTGGCAGAGCTCTTGGGCCGCCACAGGTGCCCCCAACACAAGTGACACCAAGCTGGCCATGACCACCCTGGTCATGCCCACCCCACCCAGGTCAAACACAACCCTGATGCGGCCCTCAATGAAATCGACTTTGACCCCCCTTTGTCCTAGAGATACTGCTACCGTCGTAACTATGGGGAAAAAAAAAACCGGTCATAAGTCACGTTTCTCAGAGCCATGGTAACTTAGCGCAGTCGCTAAACAAACTGTGAAGTCGAGGAGTCCCTGCATTTAAAAGAGATGCCAAGGCATAAGGCAAAAAAAAAAAAACCCAAAAAAGCACAAATCAGGCACGGAGACACATTAAGACACCGCAATAATAAGCAAGGGGTCGATTCCAAAGCGTCCAAAGAGAAGAGGTTAAATTTGCAAAATCGATCAATCAATGTTTGTTTTGGACTTCAGCCTCCATCATCTCCGGATCGTGGCCTGGCCCTAAAAACACCTGGAAAAACCCCGCCAAGGCTGCCTCAATCCAGACTGGGCAAACCGGTACACAGGCCAGGCTTTTAATCCCGATCTGGCTCCCTCGGAGTGTGCTTGGGCTAACCACAACTCCCATCATCCCCAGAGGAACTTTGCATTGGAATCCAAACATGCCTGGAAGGTGCCGGAAAGGGGACGGGAAGGGGGGAAGCTTCGGAGCTTCCCCGCCTCTCCCCTCCACCCCACCCCCAGCCAAGGGAAGAGGAGGCTCGGCTGCTCCCCACCCCGGCACCGGCTCCCTCTTCGGCTTCCCCCGGCCCTCGCCCGCCCGACCGGCCCGCTGAGGGGCTCCAGAGGCTCACCCACCACTGCCCGGGCGACGTAATGGCTCCGCCTCTGCCGGTCGCTTCAGTTGGGGGGGGGGGTTGCGGGCGGCCGTTTTACTGCGCAGCCGCCAGCTTTCGAGTTTCCCTGGGGTGGGACGCGCATGCGCATCCGGCTCCTACGTAAGCGTTTGAATGGTCGCTATGGCGACGGCCGGTGGTTAGGGGGCAACCGTTAAGATTCCAACGGTCGCTCTCCTGAGTCTTTGACTCTTTCCGCTCAGTGGATGTATGGCTTTAGTTTAGGTACAAAAGCTCCCGAGGTGCCTATTTGTATGTCTGTTATGCGAGTTACACACCCATCGCTCGCAGCCAGCTGTTCCCACGGAGCTTCCGTAAGGCTGAGGCGGGAAGACGGCTGGCAATTTTTTTTCCTCAAACCGCCTGACAACTGCATTCGTTTTAACCCAAAGGTGCTTTTTTTTCCCCTCCAAGAGGCAACTGGACTTTCTGGTTTTGCTTTGAAGACGTTTCGCTTCTCATCCAAGAAGCTTTTTTTCAGCTGTGTAAAGATTAGATTCTCCAGAGCTGAAGAAGCTTCTTGGATGAGAAGCGAAACGTCTTCAAAGAAAAAAAAAAGTCTAGTGGGGAAAAAAAGTACCTTTGGGACAACCAAGACATGGGTGACGAAGAATTTCCACAGGCATTCGTTTTAAAATTAGTCAAGGCTTTTCTTTAGCTTGGCGGGCATAAGTCACGAAAGTAGATTATTAAACGAGACAAGGCATAGCTGCCCCTCCGCCTCCGCTGTTCTTGGAGCGAATTGCCTTCTGGGACGCGTAGTCTTCCTTTCAGAGCGCTCCGATTGGCCCCCGTGAAACCCAACCAACGTTCTAGTCCCGGCTAAATTCTCCCAATGCGCTTCCGGGACTCGTAGTTCTTTCCATCCCTGCGGCTGCGGCTCAGCGGCAGGCGGAAACTACAAACCCCGAAAGGCCACGCGAGCGCTTCGGGCCGTCAAAAGAACTCAAAAAGGGGCGGGGGGTGGGAGAAGTATTTCCCCGAGCTGAGGTAAACGAAGATGGCGTCGCGGTGGAGCGGAGCTTCTGGCGGAGGCGAGAATCGGTTGGTGTCGCTGCCTTTGTCGCGGATCCGGGTGATAATGAAGAGTTCGCCCGAAGTCTCCAGCATCAACCCGGATGCGATTTTCCTCACCGCCAAGGCCACGGTAGGGAGCCTTGGGGAAGCGAGGAGGGTCCAGATGTGTGTGTGGGGGGGTCCGGCCCGCTGCACATCTGGAGGGCAGTATTGCTCAAACTTTGAGGCGACCCCTTAAGACAAGGGTCTTCAAAATGTGGCAAGTTTAAGACTTCTGGACTTCAACTCCCAGAATCCCTGAGCTAACATGACTGGAGGAGGAATTCTGGGAGTTGAAGTCCACCAGTCTTAAAGCTGCCAAGTTTGAAGACCCCCTTGGTGCCTTAAGACAAGAAGCAATGGATGGAAACTAATCAACCTAGAATTAAGGAGAAATTCCTTGACTCTAAGAACAATTAACCACTGGAACGCCTTGCCACCTGAAGTTATGGGTGCTTCATCACTGGAGGCTTTTAAGAAGAGACTAAATGCAACGAACTTTCTAATGTATGCCGATTAGTGTACATTCAAAGGGACAGTAAAGTTCTAAGTTCTTAATAGGGTTTCCTACCTAAGCAGAGGGTAGGACTAGAAGACCTCCAAGGTCTCTTCCAATTCTGTTATTCTGTTCTGTTTGAGCAGGGAATTGGACTAGATGACCTCCACGGTCCCTTCCAACTGTTACTCTATTTTTTCCGCCCTGTGTGGACCGCAACCTGAATGGGACCACTTGCCGGGGCCAACTCCCCACAGGATGACTCACTGTGGGACAATTCAACAATTCAATTATTTAAAATAATCTCAAGATTATTTAAATGTTGGTCATTCACATTTCATGTTGTCCCTTCTTTTGCATCTTCTGTTTCATGATTCTGTTCCACCATTTCCTCGATATTTGTGTAACTCTTGTTACAAGCGTTGTGGCAAGTCGCCCTGTGGTGAGTTGTCGTAGACCTAACTTAATTCCCAGAATCCCCCAGCTAACAGTAATTAACCAACAATAGTGGTGATCTCTGATGTGTTTGAGCTGTAAGCCTGATTTTTTTCCTTTTAGGAGCTGTTTGTTCAGTATTTAGCTACTTACGCTTACAAGCATGGCAAGGGCAACGAGCACAAAACCCTGACATATACTCACCTTTCACAAGCAGTACAAAACTCTGACACTTTTCAGTTCCTGGCAGGTCAGTCTTTGCTTTGCTAATATCCTAACTGATGTGAAATAATCCCTAAAATAGAGAAAGGGGAATGTGGAATTTTTCCATTTCAGTCTTTGAAAACTGTTAAGGCTTTGGGGTTTTTATATATGGATATATATTGGGATTATATATGGATATATTGGGATTCTTCCTGCTCAACTCCCATTATTAATATATATATATTAATAATGGGAGTTGAGCAGGAAGAATCCCAACCCTTTAAAAAAAAACTATTTTAGGGGATAAAATGTTTTGTTTCTTTACTGTTAAAACTATTGAGAATTGGAAATAGTTAAAAGTGTCTTGTAGATCCTGCAAATGAATTCATGGTATGTTAGGATCTATTGGCAATTTCTTCTGTCTTATGTCATAATTGTGCACAATTATTTTTTAATCTGGCTCTAATAAAAACGAAATATATCTTGCAAACCTAAAGTCTATTATGCTAAAAAGTGGGATGCCCAAATTGTGTCGCTATCACAAAATTCTCAAAAAACATTTTGTAATTTGTTTTTATTTATCAAATGTGTATGCCACCCATCTCACTCTGCAAACTCTAGAATTATTTCCACAGTTCAGTGGGAAACCCTTGCAGTAGATGAGACAGAGCGTGAATTACTTTTGTAGTGATTGGAAACATTTAGGAAATGAATGAAAATAATATTTTCTTTTCTAGATATTGTGCCAAAGAAAATCTTGGCAAGCAAATACCTAAAGATGCTTCAAAAAGAAAATGAAGGAAAAGAGATAAAGGAGGAAGAGGAGGAGGAAACGGAGGAAAGTGAGGCTGAAGAAGCATCTTGACAATATAGCTTGTTTTATGGAATGTGAACACTCTTGAGTGGCTTATGATCAACTGCATTCTTACATCCTTGAACCAGTGTCAACTTTCAGAATTAGAATTGCCAAATTATGTACAATTATCTTGCAAAGACTTATGGCAAAGACTTCCAAGTGGGACTGAACATATTTGCAGATCTTTGTTTTTCATCTTCAGCTTATAAACAAAATATGGACGATTGCTTTTAATATACCAAGTGTCCATATTAAGCAAATACTGTATTTTCAATACAGAATCATCTTCATTGCTCACATTGGGCAAATCTAAAAGCGGGCAAATTCCTTTTACATGCCAATATTAAAGTTTTCTTTCCTTTCAATGTAAGTTGGTAAAGAGGGTTCAGATTTCTTAAAAGCGAATTGTTTATATGAATAGTTGTATATAAGCTACACTAGGATATGTTGGCGTTCAAATTGTCCATGTTGAAAACAAAGTATTTTCAATATCATCAGTTCCTATGTACACTCATGTACACTCATGTTACACTCATGTAAATAAAAACTTGCAGTTTTGTATGGATATTGGGAAATTTGAAAAAAAATCAAGTGTGAATCCTTGTATGGTTTGAAATGACATTTATATAGCACAACATTGAATAACAGATGACAAATAGTGTTTTTGGTATCAAAAACATTTTTAACATTTCTTTCACCTATCAAACATCAAGTGAGGCTTTGGTCAATTTGTGTATGTATCTGGATAAAGACTGAGCATTCCAACCAAATTGGTGCCATTTCTGCGGTAGGCACTGAGCAGTGAAAAGGTAAAATTAACCCCTTTCTTTAAAAAGGGAAATAATGATAGAAAAATATAAATTCGAATTAAAAGACCTGTTACCAGTGCCACCTTCTTTTTGAAAAGGGGCTGGGTAGATTTATGGAGGATAGATGTGTTCACACCTACTTATGTAGCCTATTCCACCTAAACTTACGTGGCTCACAGCACACTTCCAGCCAGTTCAGGAACTAAAGTTGTGAAGTAGGCAGCCATTAGAAAAAGGGACACACTTAGGTTGTGTTTCCACCTGGTAAATGATAACATGGTTTTCATGGTTGGGCTGATACAATACAACCTAAACAGATTTATTCACTAAAATGTGAATTAAGCAAACCATGAGTGGTGTGAACACAGTTATTCTGAATTAAGTTCTTCAGATCGCAAACTCATTACCTTTTACATTGTAAACAAAACATTTATTGCCAAAAAGAGATTTTTATGGCAACATTAATGGGACCACACCGGTAGTCCCCAAATTATGACTACAATTGGGACCAGAATTTATCATGGCTGTTACGTGAATTGTGCCCAAAGTTATGATCACTTGAGTTGTTCAATGAATCATGGTGATTAAGCGAATCCGGCTTGCCTCATTTGTCAGAAGCCAACTGTGAGGATCACAAATTGTGATCGCATGACTCCAGAATGAGCAACTGTTGTAAATGCAGGCCTGTTGCCAAGCACCCAAATATTGATGCTGCTGTGGTTGTGAGTTTGAGGAACAGTTGTAAGTCACTATTTTCAGTGCCATTGTAAGTTTGAATGGTCACTAAATGAACGGTCATAAGTTGAGGAATACCTGTAGGGTAAAATTACTGAATACCATTGTGAGACATGCAAGAAATCTGCTTTCCAATGATAGGCCACTGAACCAAACTAACATTAACATGGCTTTCATTAGATTGTGGATTGTAAGTAGGGGAAGACTCTCCAAATCCTGACCTCTTTGAATTATTAGTGTTAGAGGCACAAAAAATACTTTTGAATGTGTAAGTATGAGTAATTTATTGACATACTATGAGGCAGAAACAAAATTGACACCATACAAAATAACTTTATAAAATATCATTCACATGTTTCATCAAGATTTACAGCATTTTGAGCTTGTTAAATGTCTTATGGTATGGAGGTAAAAAAAAAGAACACTATGCTAAATCTTTAGTAGCACTTTATAGTATATATATATATATATATACACACACACATACACAAGGGGAAAAAACCAAAGTAGAAGGTTAGTTCTTATTGCAGAAGTAGTGCAAAGTATTTTTACTATCAAGCTGTAAAAACAAACATGGAAAAAGGACTCACCCAAGCTTAAAAACAGGACAATATATGTGGCATTTCACAGTCTTTTTTTTTTTTAAGCTTTCTTCTCCTTTTTCTCCCACTTGCCTTCCCAAAATTATTTTCTCCACGTGGGGAATGCAAAAGTCCACATTAAGACAATTGGATCCACAGTGTATTTTTAAGCAACCAAACCAAGGGTTGCTCAAATTGGCTTGCATACGAATTCCAAATATGGCGCAGCTTTTGGTTTTGAGTGTGGCTCAGCTTTCAGCTAGGCTGATTCCCAGCTGGTTTGAAACTTCGATCAATTCTTGGTCAATAAATCATTCTTCAAAATCAAAACTTCTGCTTTTTGCCCAGATTTCGATCGTGGCAAAACCGCAGTCATGCAAGTATATATGTATATATCAGAAGAGACCATATATTGCCTGTTTTACCGTCTTGGGATCCTTTTTCTTCAATTTTATTTGTGTTAAAAACAAAAACAGTCTAGAATGCAAGGCAGACTTGATATCAACGTTGGACTAACACCAAGAAAGGATCAGAGAGTATCTAGAGAGACCAATTCTAAAGTCTTCAGCCGAGCCAACAATAAAAAAAGTCGATAAACTAGGTAGCCAATAACAATAACAACTAACAAAAGGACACCCCACCCTACCCTGCCCAAAAGCTCTATGAAATAAAAAGGAACAAAATGCAGCATTTTCAGGCTCGTGTTTCAACCTTGAGGTACCTGTAAGTCTTCTTACCTTCTGCCCAAAGGACTATGGTATATTAAAAAACATTTTAAAATTCTAGACCGTAAGCCAATTTACAGGACTTTACTGAAAAAGTGCAATGAGACTGATCGTGTATCTGCAGCATATGAAATTGGATGGTTAAGTCTTTTATAAAATATAGCTTTTCTAAGAGACCCGTTGGGGCAGTTCTATAGCACATTATTTATTTATTTTTTCTCGTTGTTGGAGTCTTTTCTGCAGCAAACCAAATTAACTCCTTAGGATGTAACTGTTTGTTTGTTTTTCACCACTATGAAAATTAACTCTCTTTTAAAGGAGAAGATTTCCGTGCCGTATTGGTTTCTGTTTTATAAAGTCAAATTTCCATTTTAAAAATAATAATAACCTATTACAACCCAATCTCCCCCACCCAAAGTAACAATAAAGAGAACTTTTTTTATTATATAAAAGGGCATTCAATCGTTCAGAATGTTACTCGGATGTTCTATTCCCTTTCCTGACATAAACTCATACTCTACTCATTATATACAGGCCTGTGTAGAGCATATATATGAATAGTCACATATGTAACATACACACACACACGGCTTACCCAAATTAGTCTCAATGAGCTAAGGTGGTTCAGCCGTCCCTTCAGGTAAGGGACCAAGCAAGAAAACACGTTTTTTTCTAAAGTTGTCTACAGCATCCAAGCCAGGGCTGGGGTCAAAGAGACTCTTAAAAAAGCAGACATACGAAAGGGACTTTTAACCATAGTTTACCAGGTTGGATGAAAACGAGCAACCTCGTTTGAGGAACCTCCTGTGGATTTCACCACGCACAAAAAAGGGAAATGATCACAGGAGACTCAAGAAGGATAACCTAGGTTAGGGGTTTCCAACTTCGGCAACTTTAAGCCTGGAGGACTTCAACTCCCAGAATTCCCCAGGCAGCAGGGAAGTTGAAATCCTCCAGGACTTCAAGTTGAAGTTCTCCAAAGCTTTGCTGGCTAGGGAATTCTGGGAGTTGAAGTCCTCCAGGCTTAAAGTTGCCAAGATCAGAGACCCCTGGCCTAGATTATTCTGGTCATCCAGAATAATCAATAGGACATGGGCAGGTCCCTTGTCCTGGGCAAACTAGGTAAAAAGAAAAGAAAAACAAACCTGGGCCTCACCAAGAATATCTGGGAAAGCGAAAATCTGTTTCGCTTTGAAATTTCGAAAAACACCATTACCAACATTCTACGACATGACACGTTTTTATAGTTCTAATACGCAGGAAAATAATAATAATAATAATTTGCTTTCTTTGTTCAGAAATCCAACAGTTTGCGGGTTTAACTCTGACAAAGGATTTCCTTTCCCAGAGAGGAGTCTTGGCTTGATTTTGCTCTGCATTGGGACTCACAACGTAAAAAGGCACAAAAGACAAAAAAAAATAATAATCCGTAGGTTGTTTTTCTAAGAAAGGTCCAAATTGTCCTTTTGTCTTCCAACGACAAGTCATCGCATATGGTTTGGTCGCTTCAGACAATCGCCATGATAATTTGAATTAAATTAGCACCCAACTGCTTAGTCTGAGGTAGATTCAAATCGGAAAGGGAACTGGGTCCTCTCACCACCTGATTTTTGCTGTCAATTAATCCCAAAAAGTCAGCTGTGAGATGTGAAAAAGCGCCATTACACAGGTTTCAACAAATGCATGTGTGTGTGTGTGTGTGTGTGTGTGTGTTCAAAAAGAAGCAGACGTCTCTTTCGCATCGTCTTGCAGTCGGGGAAATTGAACCACTGTATACAAATCCCTAAGCTAGCCCTTTAAACAACAATTTGATCAAATTACTTCATTTTTTCTCTCTCTCATCCCCCCCCCCCCCCCCCCCCCCCCCGCATCACAATTTTGCATTTGGAACAACTGTGCAGCCATACCCTGGAGTCAAACCCAAGATAATCATCCTAAAAAATTTAGGAACGAGGTGCTGAAGCCGCATCCTCGGAAACAAGATTGGTTTTAAGCATAGAAATGTTTAATTAAAAAAGGAGGGGGGTGAGGGGGGAAAAAAAATCTTGTGCCTTTGCAGGAAAAAATAGTATTTTTTTTTTAAATACAGGTTTTTGCATATTCTGATTCTGGACTAATTTAATATATTCGTTAAGGCATAAGATAAAAGACACATTACCCCACATAGCATCTAGCAAGCACATAATTAACATTGCTTAACATTATATATACATCGTTGATACAGATTCTCCCGCACGGAGCTTTTTATTTAAAAAAATGTACAGAATGAAAGGTATAATCTACAACATTGTTAAAGGAAGGGAGAAGGGTGGGTGAAACAGTTTCTCAAGTGCTTAATTTTACAGTTCTGCAGAGTCGGTGAACTCTGAAAAGGTATAAACTGGTTAAGGCTGCAATCCAATGTCTCCATTCCCACCCCAAAGTGAGACTTACTGTTGAGACAATGTAGGATTGTGCTCTAAATATGCTTAAGTACCATGTGAAATAAGGCCAGCCACCATCTTTCTCTCTCTTTTGGGGTGGGGTGGGGTGGGGGGTTATTCAATTCCTGTGGGGGGGGGGTATATTTAAGTTCTCGGAGGTATTTCATTTTTCCTCTCAACAAAACGCGATTCAAACAAAGTGAAACCTGGATCCCAATGAAATCAAGAGGACCAAGCTGTCAACATGTCCCACGGTTTCAGCGCGGGGTTAAGTCTGGATCGCGCTCAATTTTTATTTTATTTTTTATTTTAAAAAGACCCTGAAACAGTTTATTATGATCAGCTTAAAATACTCCCAGGAGATATCCGTGAAACGTTACGCTACCAAAAGCTTTTAAAAAAAAATCAAATTTCATCACAGATTCTTCCCTTCCTCGGTTGTTCCGCCGAATCCTTCTCTTACGTTTTACTACCATGGATTAGTAGGTATTAGAAGA